CAAGAAAAGTCAGACGGTAAAGCATGTGTAGGGCAAGACAGACAGACATAGACCAAAAGACATACCAAGGGGCAACACCACACCAAGGGTAGGGCAGGTGGAGGCCAAGAGTTGTGTGATGACAACACACATATGTGTTGTCATGGGGAAGTGGACAGTCAAGTGGACACACGGAGGGAAAGTGGGTAAGTGGTTCAAACCAAGTTGAGCACATCTGCATTTCCCAAATGGAAGGACAAAGAGTGACGGCAAAGTGTCATGCCAACACTCATGAAGTCAATGGATAACAGAGTCATGTCAATACCAAGTTTTCACATTGAGGAAGGGGCAAGGGTAGTCCAAGGATTGAGATCAAAAGCTGGCACAAACAGGCAAGAAGGACCCAAATATTGGTGCAAACCAAGGTGACCACTGAAAGTATGAAAGTTGTGACCAACATAAAAAGCAGGAAACATGAACAAAGGAACATGAAAAATATCAAGCATGGGCGGGAAAGTGCAAACTTTTGACAAACATGGAAACTACCCAGGATTGACCGAGGCCCATGTGGGTGAGCCAAATGACATCAAGGGCCAAATTGAACAAGGGGCTGAAGTGTCAAAGCAGGGGAAAAAGGTGGGAGGCTCAAAGTGAACGGAAGGGCAACAGAAAAAACGCAACAAATAGTACAGCCAAAAGACAAAGAGGACCAAAAGGTATGGACTACATTGTTACATGGAGGGCCAAATATCACTGATGACCAAGGAACATGGAAAAGCCAACTGTACATGTTACCAAATGAGGCGGAAAACCAAAGAATGCGGTTAGAAGGCAGCAGAGACAGGGGCAAACATATCAGTGACCCAAAGACAACAGAAGACGATTGGGATTGTATGACAGATTACATGGGAGGGCCAAATAGGGTGGAAGGTCAAAGGATGTGGTTCAATGAGGATGGAGGCCCAATGGACAATTCAAGATAAAGGGTTGTTGGCAAAGGCCAAGACAAGATTTCAAGACACAAGTCAAAACCAAGCGTCAAGTAAGTTGAAAACCGACCAGTGTTGTCAACACCCAGGGGCCAGACAGGAAGTCCATTGGATAGTCATGTGAACAACGACTGAGAGTTGAGTGGAGGCCAAGTTTTGGAAGGGGCTGTTGGCACTGAGAGTTGAGGAGGGACACCAGTTTAGCAGACATTGTGTCAAGACTAAAAAGTACACATAGGGCCATTGGGACACAGGATATATGGAGATGTAGGATTTGGTTGAGAGGTGACCACATATTGTGGAGTCCCAAGGGTAAACCAGGGTTGGAAGAGGCCAGACACCCAAAAGACACGCAGGTCCAAACAAAAGGAATCAAGGGGCGGGATTACCCAGGTCCAAAGAAGACGGAACATGGGGAGCCAAGTATAATACATAGGGGCAATGACATGGAGGACCCAAAATATGAGAGTGTCCAATATGATATGGGGGAAAAGTGACCCAAGGACACGGAGGGCCAAGAAAATCAATGGGAGGATGAACACATAGGACCAAGGAATATGAGGGCCGCAGGATACAAAGGTTCAAAGCAGACATAAGACCAAAGGCAAGAGAGCTCCACAGGATGGCTGGAGACAACGCAGGGCGAGAGGAGATGGAGATCCAAAGCATCAGGGACCACATGAATATGAAGACCCAAGGATTACGGAAGTCCAAAGACAGTGAGGCACCAGAGGTGTAGGAGGGCCAAATAATGGACGCACAAAGACAACCAAGGGGCGACGTCACCGGAAGCCCAAGTGATGGAGAACCAACTATACCAGGGAACCAAAAGCAAATGGGGTCGAGCAACAGCAGGCTTCCAGAGCCAGTGGAGGACAAAGTGAACGGAGGGCAAAGGAGAACAAGGAGAAACTCGGTAGATCAACTTGACACAAGGCCAGTCCAAGACCAATATACAAGTCAAGAACAAAAGGCCAGTGTAGAGCAAGATTGTAATCAAGCCAAGTCCAGGCGGAGAACAAATTCATCACCAAGACACAAGTTGATTAAAGACCAAGGATGAAGTTTGACCCAAAGAAAAAAAAACTGAGCACAAAAGTAGAGTTGAGACCAAGACCAATATTGGATTTACAAAGATCAGCCAAACGTAGACCAAGAGTTGAAGTCAACGCACAATAACCCATCAGAGTTGGAGAGGAGATGGATTAGAGTCAATTCAAGTCACAAGAGGGCCAAGAATTGTAGCCCCAAAGACATGCGGAGAGCCAAGAGAAACATAGGCCCACGACAACACACAGTCCCACGGCATAGAGAGGTTGGAGACAAACATACACCCAAAGACATCACAGAGGCCCAAGACATATGGAGGCCCCAGACATAACAGAAGTTGGAGTAGGTGGTGTCAAAGAGTCAAGTGAAGACAAAACACAGATTTGAGGAAATGAGGAGAGGGAGAGTTGGCCAACAGAGAGAGGTAATGTCAAGTTAAGTGGATTCAGCAGGTCAAAACCAGTGGTGCAAAACAGTGGATACCAAGAGGCAAGGTAATTTCAGTCATAGTCAACACAAGATGCTGCGTCAACCCAAGAGTTGAGCTGAGACCACCGGGTGGCACCAAGAGTTGAGTGGAGATCAAGTGAATATTGCCCAGAAGACAGTGGATCCAAGAAAGAGGAGGGCCCAAGACAACGGAGAGGCCAAGAATGTGTTGGGGCCAAGGACCAGCAGGGCCCCAGGAAGCGCAAAGCCAAAGTCAACGTTGGGCCCAAGAATACACAGGTGATGCAGCAGTGTGTGTAACACATAGTATGCGTAACCCGTAGAGCGGAGTAACCGTAGTATGTGTAACCCGTAGTGTGATTAAGCCGTATAACCCGTAGAGTGTAACCCGTACAGTGTAACCCGTAGAGTGTAACCCGTAGAGTGTAACCCGTAGAGTGTAACCCGTAGAGTGTAACCCGTAGTATGTGTAACCGGAGGGGAATAGTGGGTGGAAAATGTGTGATGATGAGTGGAGAGATGAAAGTTGTTGGGGTTAGTAAGTGGTGAAAGATGTTGGGGTTAGTAAGTGGTGAAAGATGTTGGGGTTAGTAAGTGGTGAAAGATGTTGGGGTTAGTAAGTTGAGTGAAATATGAAGATGTAGTGAAAGGGCGTAGGGATTTAGCCGGTTGGAAAAGGGGATGGGTAGAGAATATGTATAGAATAAGAGACTAACCCGTTGGGTGAGCGGAAGGTGAAGAAAAAAGTATAGAATAAGGGTGTAACCCGTTGAATGAGTGGAAGGAAAGTAAATGAGTAAAGAATAAGCGTGTAACGCGTTGGATGAGCAGAACGAAACAATATAAGCGTAGAAGAAAGAAGTAACCCGTTGGAAGAGCGCAAGGAGGGGAAATATGTAAAGAAGAAGGGTGTAACCCGTTGGGATGGTTACAAGGTATGAGTGGGGTTGGGGTTGAGGGTGCATGCACCAGTGCACGGGTGCATGCACTTGAGGTGCATGCACCGTGCACCCATGATCAGGTGCATGGGTGCCCAAGTGCACCCGTGCACAGGTGCATGGGTGCATGGGTGCATGGGTGCATGGGTGCATGGGTGCATGGGTGCATGGGTGCACAGGTGCATGGGTGCCCAAGTGCACAGGTGCATGGGTGCATGGGTGCATGGGTGCACAGGTGCACAGGTGCATGGGTGCACAGGTGCATGGGTGCATGGGTGCATGGGTGGATAGGTGTACAGGTGCATGGGTGCATGGGTGGATAGGTGTACAGGTGCATGAGTGCATGGGTGCATCAGTGCACAGGTGCACAGGTGGATGGGTGCATCAGTGCAGGAGTGCATGAGTGTATGGGTGCATCAGTGCATCAGTGCATGAGTGTATGGCTGCATCAGGGCATGAGTACAAGAGTGCATGGGTGCATAGACGCACAAGTGCAAGAGTTGGGCATCAGTAGGTGTAAGTTTGGGGTATAGTGCAAGTCGCTTCAAAGGTACATATATCTTAGGTATACCATTAGGATCAGCAAATTGATCTGCATACAGCTGGTCGATAAACAAACTTTGAAAAATCTTCTTTTGCTTTCTCTGAAATGCTTCTCTTCTATTGATCAAATCATTTCTAACGGTGATTGTATTGCAATCAACAGTAGAAAGTCCGTCTTCTGCTAAATGATAAACACAAGTTAAGCATTCATCTAGATATCTCATCGTCACTGGCCACATCTCAGGTCTAGATACCGGATCGGTTCCCTGAAGGCTCAGGGATCCATCTGCCCGTTCGCTTAGTAGGAAGGAGTGGACGGAAGGATATGCCCAGAGCCCGGACCCCCCAATTTGATATTTTTATACACAGAATCCCTGGGCCTAATCACATTGCATTGGGAAAAGGTGGCCAGTGGCAACCTTTCTGGCCATAATTGCAACCCATGAAAGGTTGCCACTGGCCACCTTTTCCCAATGCAAGATTACCATTTGTTTGCATGTATAGAAGGTAGCCATTGGTCACCTTCCCTTACACGTGTTGTAGACCAGGTGAGCATGGACTACCTTTGAATGAGAACATGCCAAATGATGAATGGCAAAAGGTGACCAGTGGCTACCTTCTACAACCTGAATGCTGAACAAGGAACAGGGGGCGAGGTGGCCACTGGCTACCTTTCTCCATACACATGATACATAAAAGGTGACCAGTGGCCACCGTTTCTGATCCACATGATACATTGAAGGTGGCCACTGGCTACCTTTTCTGTTACACATGATGCATACAAGGTGACCAGGGTTAGTGTTAGGGACATAGTTAGTTTGATATAGTGATACAGCTTTCTAAGAGGTATATTTACTCAATTGTTTGCTTATACATATATATATCTAAATGAATTTATTTTACGGATTGTGTATATCAATGTTTATCAATATGCACATATATTGATATATGCCATCCCAATATATATATCCATATATTTATTTCCTCCAGTAAGTGTGTGTATACATACTGACTCATGTGTATTTATGTTGTTGTATTCACCTCTACCACAGGGATGATAGTGTAGCGGTTAGCACTCCAGGCTGATGTTCAGGTGCCAAACCTGAGTTCAAGTCCCTGGTAACTCATTTTTAATTTAATACTCCGTGATGTTGCATATCTGTATATATGTTGTTGCACATACCTTCCCACAGGGATGATAGTCTAGCGGTTAGCACTCCAGGCTGATGTTCAGGTGGGAAGCCTGGGTTCAAGTCCCTGGTAACACATTTTTAATTTGATTCCCTCTGAAGTTTCATATGTGTATATATGTTGTTGTACTTACCTCTACCACAGGGACGATAGTCTAGTGGTTAGCACTCCAGGCTGATGTTCACATTGCAAACCTGGGTTCAAGTCCCTGGTAACTCATTTTTAATTCAATACTCCTTGATGTTGCATATGTGTATATACAACATTGTACTTATCTTATTATCGGAACTATAGTCTAGTGGTTAGCACTCCAGGCTGACATTCATGTGGCAAACCTGGGTTCAAGTCCCTGGTAACTCATTTTTATTTAATTACCCCTGATGTCCCACTTTGGACTTTTTTCAAGCCCAGATCAGGTCCCTGACATACTATATGGGAGTGTTGTGAAAGACTAAGCTGATTGATATATTTGCACAATTGATAGGTCCCTGGCAGAACGCAAATTATAAAGTGAAATATAAGTCTGATAGCGTAGATACCTTATAAAGGTATGAAAAGGAGATTAATCAATGAGGTAGCAGCAGAACTGATAAACATGTTTGTTTGCTTTAGAAACAAATGGACATCAAGATGGGGAATTCAACTTTGACAATGGTCGATATTGATCTGGATGCTTATAATATATCAACAATGCCGCATTTTTTACCAGCGTATATTGGCTATAATAGCTTTGTCCCTTTGAGCAATCATGCATTAAATATCCGTGATCTTGAAAGGTTCAAGGATTGGGTTTATATTGTAACAGGTTCTGTAGAAGTTAGAGTGCATCCCAGATTTAAGGACCCTTTGTTTGAATACTTCAAGGCAACACATACAATTTACAAAAATAGTTATACGCGCGCATTTATTACACGAAGTCAACGAGTTGGAGCATTGCATGTGATAGATGCTTTGGAAGCAGTTGGATGCGAGCATGTCAGATTAAGCACGTATGGCGCAAAACTTGAAGGTGGATTGCTGGACCGTAATTTTGGAAACGAGGTGCCACGATTGGCGGTGTACAACACTTTTGATATTGGCAAGACATATCATGCTGATCATATCATAGTTGGTAAACCTGTTAAACCATCTAACTTTAAAGAATGTTATCCTATGTTTATGGAGCTTGGAGAGGGAAGGGGTTCAATAGAATTTGAAGCTGAAACAGGTGAGGGAGATGTAGATATCAGAGTTAAGGGTTATCCAAGATTTGTCCACTCACTCAAGAACCTTGGAAGTCATCATCTTTCAAACAATCCGGAAAAAGCGCGCACATGGCATGCCCGTGTGGACTCGGTAGCTAAGAAATTAAGGTCTTTACAACAAGACAACCCTGAAGATCTTGGAGGATGGCGCCTGGAAGCAACTGTGTGTGCACGGTCTCTGCATGAAGCAATCAAAATAGTGCTACAATCAGGATCACTGGATTTCAATACTTATATAGGTCAACATGATTTTATGATTTCTTTTGGACGGATCACAAAGGATGAATATGTAAAATACTGTGATAAATTCATTGAAGTAGTTCGGAGCATGAAGGTGTCCAAGTCTTACGGAAAAGACCCAACCACAAAAACTCAGAAGCAGGCAATTACTGACCTTTACAATGCCTTTGGGTGGAACACAGGCAAAAGGCGGCCAACCAAGTGGAATGATCCAAAAGCTTGGTGGAAGGTAGCAGATGAAGCAGATGGTATGTTGAGTTTACTTACTTGTTTATGTAACAGTCAGCTAATGTATTTTGGTTTATAGAACAATCTGGAGAAGAAAATACAGACCTTAGTCCTTACGAGACTTGGCAACAATTGGTGCACAAAAACCAACTTGTGTGTCAAGACTGTTTGAAAGCAGGAAAGGTTGTTCCCTCTGTGAAGCGTAACGGGTGGGGCAAGGGTTACTTAAAACAGACAGGTGGAAAAGGACGTCTACGGTTGCGTTGTAATGGTGACGGGTGCAAAGTGTCTCTTAATCAAGCAGAAAGTTGGCCTATAGTACAGCATTATGCAGAAATTGAAAAGAAGAATACAACTCATGGCAATGAAACACAAGCAATTTCAATGAATGACCTCTCATTGAAAAAGTCAGCACCTGTTGTAATAGATTTATGTAGTGATGATGAAGAAGATGAAAGGAATGAAGACTCATGGAACTTGGAGGAAATCATGGGTGGGGAAGTCAGTTGTGGAACAGCAAAGCGGAAAGCGGATGTATTAGATTTATGTAGTGATGAAGAGGAAGAAGAAAGGAATGAAGGGTCATGGAACTTGGATGATATTATGGGTGGGGAAGTCAGTCATGGACCAGCAAAGCGTAAGGCACAAGGAGGACACAGTGAACGATTTCAAAGTGTTGATATAAGCAATGTGATATACGAGCCTGAGGAAATCAGTGTACATGAAAAACTGGATTCAATGATAAGGAGTGATGATTCTAAGGTGATACTTAGGGTGAATAGGGTTTGTGTTGATGCTGTGGAGATAGGGGTCTGGGGTGATGCAGCTGAAGCATTAGATCTGGCAAGTAATTATAGAAATATCAGCAAGGAATCAAGAATTAATTATGCTATACCTGAAGTTTTATTTAATCACATCTTCTTAAAACCTGGACTCGATCATTGGGCAATTTCGGTAGGCTTTATAGTTGGAGATGGTAATTGTTTATTCAGGTGCTTCTCTTATTTACACTTTGGAACACAGACAGCACATTTTTGGGTCAGGTCTATATACCGGATCGGTGCCCTGAGGGCTCAGGGATCCGTCCGCCCGTCCGCTTAGTAGGGGGGAGCGGACGGACTTTTCTGCCCGGAGCCCGGAGCCCCCAATTTGACATTTTTACACACATAATCCATAGGCCTAATCACATTGCAGGCAAGAGAAGGTGGCCAGTGGCAACCTTCCTGGCCACAATTGCAGCCCACAGAAAGGTTGCCACTGGCCACCTTTCCCCCATGCAAGACTGCCATGTGTTAGCATGTCAAGAAGGTAACCCTTGGTCACCTTTCCTTACACACATGTTGTAGACCAGGTGAGCATGGACTACTTTTGAATGCCAACATGCCAAATGATGAATGGCAAAAGGTGACCAGTGGCTACCTTGTACAACCTGCATGTTGAAAAACCAACAGGGAAGAGGTGGCCACTGGCTACCTTTCTTCATACACATGATACCTGAAAGGTGACCAGTGGCCACCTTTTCTGCTACACATGATACATTAAAAGGTGACCAGAGGCTACCTTCTACAACCTGAATGCTGAACAAGCAACGGGGAAGAGGTGGCCACTGGCTACCTTTCTTCATACACATGATACATAAAAGGTGACCATTGGCCACCTTTTCTATTACACATGATACGTAGTAGCAAAGGTGACCACTGGCCACCTTCTGTGATACACATGACACATTAAAGGTGGCCACTGGGTACCTCTCTTCATACACATGACACATGAAAGGTGACCAGTGGCCACCTTTTCTGATACACATGATACGTTAAAGGTGGCCACTGGCTACCTAGCTACCGCCTCCCTGCTTCGAGGCCTCAGGGCAGGGGCGCACGGGGCGCATTTTGGTGAGGTGCGCCCCGGTCAAACTGCCGCGAGCCCCGAGCCCCAAAAACCGGGGCGCACCTCAAAGCATAGTCCGCCGAAAATGCATTTTCGGCGGACCTTTCATATTCAAATGGTATCAAAGGTCTTATTGGATACTTACAGTGCGTAATGCGGTCCACAGTCCGCCGAAAATGCATTTTCGGCGGACCTTTCATGTCCAAATTGTATTATTTAATGACTACAAGGTCTTATTGGATGCTTACAGTGTGTAATGTGGTCAACAGTCCGCCGAAAAAACCATTTTCGGCGGACTCCTGGTGTTTGAATTGTGTTATTTGATGTCCACAGGGTCTTATTTGATGTCTAAATTGCTTCATTTGATGTCTACAGATGTTGTTGGATGTTTACAACATGTAACAAGGCCAAAAGTCCGCCGAAAACCCATTTTCGGCGGACTTTTGATCTTTAAAATGGTTTATTTGATGTCTACAAGGTCTTATTTGATGTCTAAGGTGTTCAATGAGGTCAAAGGTCCGCCGAAAACCCATTTTCGGCGGACTTTACATATGTAAATTATGTAATTTGATGTCTACGAGGTCCAATTTGATGTTTACAGGCTATTATTTGATGTTTACAGTGTGTAATGAGTTCAAAAGTCCGCCGAAAACCCATTTTCGGCGGACTTTTGGTGTTTACAAGGTCTCATATGATTTCTACAGGTGTTGATTGATGTTTACAACATGTAACAAGGCCAAAAGTCCGCCAAAAATGGGTTTTCGGCGGACTTTTGGTGTTTAAAATGGTTTATTTGATGTCCACTAGGTCTTATTTGATGTTTACAGTGTGTCATGAGGTCACAGGTCCGCCGAAAATGGGTTTTCGGCGGACTTTACATATGTAAATTGTGTAATTTGATGTCTACAAGGTCCAATTTGATGTTTACAGGGTATTATTGGATGTTTACAGTGTGTAATAAGGCCAAAAGTCCGCCGAAAATGGGTTTTCGGCGGACGTTTGGTGTTTACGAGGTGGTATTTGATGCTTACAAGGTCTAATTTGATGTTTACAACATGGAACAAGGCCAAAAGTCCGCCCAAAAACCATTTTCAGCGGACTTTTGGTGCTTACAAGCTCCAATTTGATGTTTACAGGGTGTTGTTTAATGTTTACAACATGTAATAAGGCCAAAAGTCTGCATAGACAGGTAGTTGGCAGACTCTTGGTGTTTACAAGGTGGTTTTTGATGTTTACAAGGTGGTTTTTGATGTTTACAAGGTGGTTTTTGATGTTTACAAGGTGGTATTTGGTGCTTACAAGGTGTTATTTGATGTTTACAACATGTAATAAGGCCA